GAGCTGAGCTGCTTCAGCGGCCCCGCAACGGCTTCCAGCAGCCGCACCCGAGGGCCCCCGGCGGGGGGAAGAGGCGCAACAGCTGCAACGTCGGAGCTGGTGGTGGAGGAGGAGGAGGAGCGGGCGGCGGCGGGGGGTTCAAGCACCCTGCCTTCAAGCGCCGGCGCCGCATCAACTCCGACTGCGACCCGGTCCTGCCCTCCGAGTTCCTGCTGGGGGGCAACATTTTCGATCCGCTCAACCTCAACAGCCTCCTGGACGAGGAGGTCAACCAGGCGCTCAACGCGGAGACCCCCAAGTCCTCCCCCCTTCCCGCCAAAGGCAGGGATCCTGTGGAGATTCTCATCCCCAAGGACATCACGGACCCCTTGAGCCTCAACAACGCTCAAGAGGACCCCCCGGTGCTGGCCTCCTCCCTCAAGACCGGGCGGAAGCGCCACCGCCACCGGGGTGCTCAGCGCGGGGCCAGCGTGGAGGGGGCAGCCAAGCCTGCACCTGGGGGTCCTGCTGTGTCTGCTTCGGGCCCCTCTTGCCCAAAGGCTTGCAATGGGGCCACCCCGCAACCCTATGAACTTAACACAGCCATCAACTGCAGGGATGAGGTGGTGTCTCCCCTCCTGCCTGCGGCAGGGGAAACCCAGCAAAGCCAGCAGGCCTCGGGGGATGGGGGCGTCACCCCCTCTTGTGCTTCCGTGGCCTCTTCCGCAAGCGCTGGGAGCCGTCACCACCGCAAACGGCGCAGGACTTGTAGCAAATCAGAAGGGTCAGGGGCCAAGCCACCGGGCGGTGGGGCTTCCAGTGACCCGCCTTGCAGAGCCAGCCCAGAGCGGGGGCGCAGCTTGCCCCGGTGCCGCAACCTCCAGGCGTCTTCCGCCCAGCATCCCCGGCGGCAGCCCCGGCACAAGTTCCAGTACGGCAACTACTGCAAATACTACGGCTACCGCAACCCCGACTGCGAGGACATCCGGTTGCGGGTGATGAAGCCAGAGTGGTTCCAAGGGAAAGAGGTGCTGGACGTGGGCTGCAATGTGGGACACCTCACCTTGAGCGTGGCCAAGAAGTGGGGGCCGGCCAGAATGGTGGGTTTGGACATCGATGGGGCCCTCATCCACTCGGCCCGCCAGAACATCCGGCACTACCTCTCTGAGGAGATGCAGCAGCAGCAGCAGGACGGCGAGGGCAAGGGGGCCACCCGTGCCAAGAAGACCTTCCCGGCCTCTCTCATGGCCAGCCGGGGCCCCATTGCTGCACCCAGAGTGCCCCAGGAGGGGGTGGACGCCACTGTCTTCCCCAACAATGTGATTTTTGTCAAGGTAAGGCACAGAAGATGTGCTGGGAAAGCCAGGCGGCGCCTTCCTGGATCTTGCTCTGCCAATTCCAGTTGGAGTTCCAGCTCCGTCCTGCTGCAGCCCTTGTGAGCTGCCTGCGGAGCAGCAAAGAGAGAGAGGGTGGCTTAACTGCTTCTGGGCTTTCCAGGTCCCACGGCTCCTGTACGGAAAGCGTGGCCGTGCTGAGAAGCTCCTTTGGGAACAGGTCGAACCGTGGCAGCCGCTTCCCTTTATACCACCTGCCAACCTTGCGTTCATTTTCCCCAGAGGGTGGTGGAAGCCTTGGTGGGTTTTACAGTAAGGCAGAGTGGATGAAATTCAATGGTGTTTTTTTAAATCAAATGGGTTTATATTTTTTTAAATGATCTTTTGATTTAAAGGGTCAAAATCTGAGGTTTTGGATTTAAATCAATTTGATTTGCATCCGATCCAGCCCTAACAGCAGAGCTTCAGTGGGGTGGCCATGGTATGTGTTGGGGGTTCTGGCCATTGCAGTTCAGGCTCTGCTGCATGGACCTTGGTTTGTGTGCATCCGCATGTCCTTAAAGTATAACGATGCAACTGGAAGGGGAGGGACAGGGCTGGAAGAAGAGGAGGATTCTGTGCTCAAACATCCCCTCCCCTTGTTTCCAAGGCCACAGAAGGGGGTAGGAGGGAGGGTGTCTGGAGCGTTCCTTCCTCTGCCTCACTATCCGTGGGGGAATTAGAAGGTCAGATCCTCCTGATAAGGAGCCAGGCTGATAGGGGTGGCCCTTCCTCCTTGCTTTAGAGAGAGGTTTGTGTGTGTTCTGAGCACACGAGGTTGTGGATCCATGATGGTGCTGCTCACTGTTTGGGGCCACCCAAGAACCTCCACTTTATAGAGTGAGAGGTCTACCTGCTTGGCATGCGGATGGGACTGGCTGGAAACCCCGATCGATCACGCCTCCAGGTGGGACTGGGAACTTGCCTGCCTTCCTGGCCCCCGTGGAGAGCCACGGTTGCCCCTTGGCAGCCCAGAAGTGAGCAGGGAGGAGTGTCCGGGCCATTTCCTAGGCTGAAGAGAGGAGAGTCACCTCAAGGCGGTGGTGGCTCTTCCTAGCCACTCACCTCAGTGGGCTTCCTTTGAAGGGGGAATGGTGAACAGCCTCAGGCCGTCTCCACTGAACCGGGGTCAGGTTCAGAACATGCCAC